TACCCTGTACAGGGTACAAATTTATTATTCGAAAAAGTCAAGGAGTATAAATGTGTATTGTAAACCAATTTATACATATTTATAGAGCTAATTTGCTATAACAAGTCAATTTCCACTCTTATACTGGCTTTTTTCAAATTTAAGAATTTCAGCATAAATAGCCTGTACTTGTTTACAATTAGGTATGACATTATTACGAAAGCGCAAAATAATAAAAGCGAAAGCAGTTGCCAAATCAAAATTCAAGATTTTTTTATACGGTGCAGCTGACGTTGTCAAAATGCCTAGGGCAGCGAAATTAGTGAATCGCATATTGTAACACAAAATAGTTTAATTATTTATTTTTTTGCATAATAAGTATACTGAATACATATGTATGTATGTATGTAAGTCCAACAGAAGACTATTCTGACTTAAGAGACTTCGTTGCCAAATATTGAAATGTGGCGAATGGAACAAACAACTGGTTTAACGTAATTATACTGGTATAATACACAGTAACCCATAATAATCTATGTTCTAATTCACTGAAATCCCTACTCTTTGTTACCAAAAATTTTTTATCACTACATTTTCACTTTTTAACCGACGATCGTATACAAATAGCACAAAGCTCTTCATTTATTAACTATTTTAAGGGCTTAAGGGTTTCAAAAAAATTGATGTTTTTATTGTCTTATTAAATTCTAAAACATCTATAGAATTTTTTCCTGAATTTTCAAGTTGACTTAAGTAGCAGTTTCGCAGATACAGTCTTGAGAACTTGTGCGTTCGAGGTTGGCTACGCTAAGTGCGCCGTCTTTAAATGCGTTTTTCTTGAAACTGTGTTTGAAGTCTGTTTTTGAAGTAGGTTGGCAAGATTTCTCGAGAACTACTTAACCCATCTTCATGAAATCTTACACAAGTCTTTGAGATACATTTCTTAAAGACTTGGTTTTCGATTACAACTATTTCGACTACAAATCAGTTTTTTACCCGAGTTACATGGGTTTAATTATTTTGTTAATTTGTTCTATTAATTTTTATTATTTTATAATTTTGCTTTTTTGTTGATTTTTTCATTTTGAAAAAAAAATAAAATTATATATATACATATATTTATGCATATGTGATAAAATGTACAATTTGACGTAAACATTTTGACAATTCATAGACTAAATATTCTGCACGAAATGCTAAAACTGAAAAGCTGCACCATTCATACTAACAACAGTGCAAAACCAACGAAAATGAAAATAAAACTATAATGTGGTTAAGAATTTCTACAACGACACGATTTGTTTATAAATAATACCTTAGCGTAAACAAAAAAGTAGGCCTATGAAATTACATATTTATATAGAGTGCATCGGTTTTTAATGGGTGGTCAAAGTAGAGATACTTGTTTCAATAGCCCTTTTTTTGGCAGTTAACGCATGAGTCGTGTCAAGTTGTCATCCACCCGACCTTGCCAGAAAAAACAATGGTTTGGTGTGAATTGTGGGGTGGTGGAATCATCAGTCCATATTTCTTCAAAAATGATGCCGCTGAGAACGTAATCGTCAATGGCGACCATTTTCGCGCCATGATTTGGTCCCTGAAATTAAAACTCGTAATCTCGGCAACATTTTGTTTCAACAAGATGGCGCCACTTCCCACACATCGCATTAATCCATGGATTTATTGAGAAAACCCTTCGATAAGCAGATAAGTTCACGTTTTGGGTCGGTCGATTTGGCACCAAGATATGTGTGATATCACACCGTTAGACTTTTTCCTGTGGGGATATGAAACTTCTACAGTCTATGTGGATAATCTCGCTTCGATTCAGGTCTTGAAGCAAAACATCATACTTGTCAATCGCCACATACTAGACGGAATGCTCGAACGAGTCACCGATTCAATGGCAGTAACGCAAAAACAATTTGAACTATCGGAAACATCTGTTTTAAACTGCTGGCGGAAAAAACTGAACGTATTTTCGAACCACCCTTTATTTTGAAAGACAGAGTAGATGATATGTAAATTTATATATAGAAATAAATACACGAGAATAATTCGCTAAGTTCGTAGCTTTGCGTTCCTCGCATAGTACCTTTGGTTTTCTTTTTTAATCTCTTCTATACATATGTGAAACCAAGGGAATCCTTGAGCTCAAAATAAAGTTTATAGTACATAACTTGCTAAAGAAATCACTTTCTAGTTGAAAAATATACTGAAATATTTCTTTCCAAATTTTCACTGTTACATCGAGCCGCCATTGTTTTCTATTGCTCTTCTAATTGATGTCGGCTACGCGGTAGTTGTATAGTATGTTTGTCTACAAGTACGAACGGAAATGAGCCCTCGCAGATAGGGAATTGCGCACTTAATTAAAAAAAAACGTTATACCAACATATAGTCACATAGTTGGTGTATTTAAGATATATTAAATATTTAATAGATATATAAAAATTTGTTTTCGATTCATTGTGGGCTTGAGTTTTTGATTTTTTGTCACTTAAGTGAATTTTATTCGTTTTGCTGAGGAGTAAAAATGTTTCTATGTATGTACATARATACATGCGGTATTGCGGCAAATGAAGGAGTTCTTACTACACACTCTTCAATAGGCAACCAAGTGGCAAGGCTAAAAATTTTGTTGAATGGTAGTTTACAGTTGTATGGGATAGGCTGACGTGGAAGCATCCAGTTACTTTCTTCACCATTGTCCAGCCTTTGTATGACTGAAGCTGAAACGGATTCTACCTTCGACAAAACAGAGGACATACATAGTCGAAACTGACATTAACCGTTTCAAGAAATTTCCGATTGACTCAAAACGCTTTGTCGATTTGTAAGACTGATCCAGGATATGGGTCTATTTAGATGCCACAACGGACCGGCTTAAATGGGTTTTCTCGGGTAAAAACAGAATTTTTGCAACAAATTCTTTCTCATATAAAAAATTATATATTTTGTTAGAATTTTGTATTGTTACAAACATACACTATTAACAAAGAAATTCTAAAATTTTGGAAAAAAAATATTTTAGTGCAATTCTTGTCATATTTTTTTCAAATGTTTGTTATCGAGTTCTCCGTCCAAGTCTGTGGAAAATTTCATGAATTTCGAGAATTCTTGCCAACCGACTTCAAAAACGCAATTTCGAGAAAAACGCGTTTAAATACGGCGCACTTAGCCCAGCTAGTGTCAAGCGCATAAGTTCTCAAGGCTATATCTCCGAAACTATTACTCGGATCTACTTGAAAGCTTAGAAAAATATTCTAGAGTTGTTTTAGAAATTAATAGGAAAATAAAAAAATTGATTTTTTGAAAACACATGGAACACCTTAACCGTTTCAAGTAATTTGCCATTGGCTCAAAGCGCTTTCCGATTTGTAAGGATTTTATGATCCAGTATATACGAGCTTTTAGATACTACAACGGACTAGCGATCCAAGCCATACAAGTGAGACCTTGTTAGGATCGATAACTTAGACTAATCTAACCCAATTCTTTCGATGACGATCTCAATACTTTTATAGTAAGCAAAGGGCGATAAATATTATATCTAAGGAAATATAAAATTATGTGTGAGGGTAACCCAAGTGAAGGGCCTATAAGGTCGATTGAAGGTCCATTAAAAAAATCTAAAAAAACATTTGTAGAAAAACGTTTTTATCAAAGAGTTACTCTTCATACATACAACCACATCTTACACATATGAAATATTTAACTTTTGACAAACTAAAGTTATTTTTTAATTTAAAAAATGTGCATATTTTTTAAAATGCATTTTTATTTTTTTTACAGTGCGCGGCAGTGAAGTTGGGACGGACGATTGTCGACGTGTAAAAAGTACGAAATTTCGCAAATTTAATTTTATGAAGTAAAATATTTTCAACTCTTTGAATTCTGAAAAACAAAAAAAGAATATAAATAAAAAAACAACAACAAAAAATCAAAATTTGTGTATAAACAACAGCAACAATAATTACAAAAAATTTTGATTTAACTAAATAAAAGTCAACAACGAATTTCCAGATACTTGATAAGACACATAAACAAAAAGTTAGCATTTCACAACTCGCGAATAATTCGCCAAACAGCACAAAAGTGGATAACACGAAAAAGAAATCGCTTGTCAACACAAACATGCCTAGCGAATTCTAAAGATAAAAACGGCAAGTAAATAGTGAAAACAGGTAATAAACATTAAAATCGTTAATGAAAAAGTGAACAATAGTAAAAAAAAAACAGAGGCGCTTACGTACAAACATTAAGTAAACAAAAAAATTCCAAAACAATAAAACAAGCAGTAAACGAAACGATTTTTATTTTCGTACAGCACTACGTCAGCTGTCGGAAAGCGCGAGCCGTTCGGAGAGCAAACTAAGCAATTGTCGGATATTGCGACTCCGAGCCACGCTGCGCCTATCAGCAGACCACAGACAAGCAGTCAAGCCGCCAGTCAGCTGTTTACGACGCAATAAAGGTTTACAGATACAACTACATAACTGTGTATACATTTGTATGTATGAAAGTGTATGCATTTAGAGCGGCGAAATATTTATTGTGATTAAATTACCTGTGCAGCAGTTACTATACATCGCGTAAATTGTCTGCTTACCCCGCTGTCAGCACTGACAGCTGTATAACTGTCGTAAATCGACATTACAAACTAGCGTAGTGGCACAATAAAGCCATAAATTGGGCTGTAGAGACGTCAGCGCCGTAGACCTTCAAAGCCAAAACACAAGCAACAGCATAGACAACAACAAATACAACAAATATAGAAAGCAAACTTTTGTTATCGTGCCACACAACTAATACACGTACATACAAATATATACGTGTGTCGGTGGCAGCGACAAAGCAAAAAATAACAATAAACACAATACCAACAAAAAAATAAAATATATGTACATATAGGAAAAATAAGAAGAAAAAAAAATAAAATACAAAAAAGAAAAAAATCAAAAAAAAAAAAAAAAAATATTTTACTAATAATCAAAGCAGCACACAACCACAACCAGACATTAGTTGTACATTAGCGCAAATATACATACATACATTCAAGACGTTGTCTGATAGCTGGCATTCGCCACTCGCCGCCGATCATCGGCTCTATATATATGCGCTGGCACAGCTCGTAGCCACAGATCGTACGTATGCTGATCGTCATTTAATGTGCATAGCAAATTGCCAACAATTCAGTCGTCTTTTGACTTTTGTGCGGATAACTACCAAACGAACAAGGATCACAGTGCATTGAGCTACAAACAAAAGGAGAACAGCGCCCAGAGAGCCACACCAACAAAAAAAAAAAAAAAACAACAACAGCAGCGACAGCGACCAGTGTTAAAACGTTCCAAATCGCCGAGTAATTTGGTTCATTCGAATTTTCTGTGCTGAACGGTGCAAAGAAACCGTTTTCCAATGTCGATTAATTCGCCAATACACACAAACTCTGACCTGATTTAAACAGGCAAAAAGCAGGCAACCAATTCGTATAGCAGTGCGTGTTAAAAACAACAACAAAAACAACAGCAATTAGAACAACGCCACACATAAAGGGTGTTGTTTTTTCGTTTCCGTTTCGTTTTCGAAAATATTATCTATCAGTTTCGTTTTACGTTTCCCGTTATTTTCTTGTTTTTTTTTTTTAACTGCGTTTCGCTCATTTATACTTGGTGTTGAGCCATAATTGGAGAGAAAAAAAAGTGAGTGTAACACAAAACCTATACGAAAGTGCGGTTCCAAAGCAGTTTTAGCAAAAAATCACGTGCAATTAAATATTTACTACAAAAACACAAAGCGCACAACAAAAACAAGTTTGACATAGTAAACAAACTAGTGACTCATTGGAACCAGAGACTTCCAGGCAAATCAAAATTGTAGACGACTACAGCGTCCGCTCGCGCTCTTATATATCAGCTAAACGTTTGTAGCGTCGATCAGTCGCTAGCGAGCAGTTACAGACGATCGTGTGTTGCGAAACGTGCGTTTAGCGCGTTGCAAAGTACAAAACAAAAACAACTTTTACATATAATTTAATCACGTTTTCTGTGCAAAACAATATAAACAATATAGAATTGTTGCGTATTAACGGTGGTGAACTCAAACAACAATCTGAAGAAACAAAGAATTTAATTTATCCGGGCTTTGGCCGTTGTATGGGTAAGTGGAATTGTGTCAAGCGGAGTTTAGAGTTACTTAAGATATACTATGTACATATTAAGTATGTATGCATATTTAATTGTTTATATAATACATGATTGAATTTTGTTAGAGCAGCCGCTAGTTAATTTAATTTTATTTACAAAACACGCTTTCAATTTAAAATAAAAATAATAATTGAAACCCCCAGGAAAAAGAAGAGAAAAAAATAAAATTTTTGGAAATTAATACTAAAAAAAAATTATAGATTCCCATTTTGTAAAACATAAAAATAGTAA